TCTTAGCCCCGCCCATCCTCTTCCCCAGCTCTTTCTCTCTTCTCAGCTGTAGCCCCACCATCTTCCCCCCAGTCCCGACCCGAATGAATGACAGGTTTGCCGCCGCGGCCGCTCCGCACTCTGATTGGTCGGGCAGGACGGTGACGCGAGCGGCACGCACGGTGGGCGGGGCCGGGGCTCTGGGGGGCCGGGCTCCAGGGCGGGGCCGGTGGCTCCAGGGGCGGGGGAGCCCGGGAGGCGGGAGGCTCTGGGCCGTTTAAGCGGCCTCCCCCAGCCGCCTCCCGGCCTTCCCGGCCCGGACCACAGTCGCCCTCCCTCCGGCCCTGTCTGTTGAGCCCCAGCCCGGCAGAGCTGTCTCGGGCAGGGACGGGGGGCGGGCGGCCAAGCGGGCCGTGTCCGGAGCAGCCTGAGCCCGAGCCCGGGAGATGAGGGCCTTGCGCCCGCGGGGCCAGCCACGCTAAGAGCCAAGGCGGAGCCCCCGAGGCGCCGGAGCATCCATGCGGTTCGAGTGCCGATTCCAGCGGTGAGCACCGGCTCCCCAAGGCCTTATTCCGACCCATCCCGCCTCTCGCATCCAGTCTGGAGGGGATTCCACCAGGCTCTCTCCTCCCCGAGATCTCTCCCCCAGGGGCGATCCCTTCCATCTCCGCTGCTGGATCTCTAAGGGTGGATCTCACCTCCAGCTCCAGGATCTCTCCTCCAGGGGCGGTCCCAATCCACCCCCTGCTGGTGGATCTCCGCTCCAGTATCTCTCCCCTAGGGCAATCCCGTCCCACCCCCTGCTATAGGAGGTCTCTAGGACTGGATCTCAGCTCCGGTTCCAGGATCTCTCCCGGGGGGCGATCCCTCCCCCCTCCCCCACACTTGGAGTGGATCCCAGCCCCCTATCCACTATCTCCCCCCCATTTCCCTCGACGGCTGATCCCTAGCCTCCTTCAGAGGGTCTCTCGGAGTGGATCCCATCTCTCTGTAGCATGTCCCCAGTGGAACTCTCCTTCGCAGAAGGGAATCCTTCCTCCCTCCCCCGTCTTCCCCCGCCCCCCCCGGAGCTGTTCACAGCGGCTCCCTTTGCTCTCCCTGGATTTCCCAGGATCTCCTCCCCCCACCCCCGCCCCAGTCCCCGCCTGATCTCGGTGCAGCCGCGCGGCGGGGCGCTAGGGAGCCCGTTCTTTCGCCCTATATGGCCTGGGAGCCCCAGGCTGCGGGGGCAAGGTCTGAGCGCAGCTCTCTCTGCCTCTCTCCCAATCCTGCCCCCGCCTCACCCCCAGTCCTAGGCTGGCCCCTGGATCCATAACCACCGGACTCGCTGGGGGTCAGGGCCCAGGCAGTCGTTTCCCTGTGGCTGCAGCTCATGGAGTCGAGGTAAAAGCTTCAGAAAGGCAAAGCCGGGGTTGCTCAGCCTTGGGCATTTCCCCAGCTCTGTCGCATCCCCAGCTGCTTTGTAGGGCGGCTTTCATAGCCGGGAGCGTTGAGGTGGGGGAGGGGAGGTAAACTGAGGCAGGCTACTGCAGCGTCTGCTCCGCTTAGCCCCAGCTGCCACTGCATGCCTTGGCTTAGCATCCTCTGGCTGTGCTATTCTTAGGCACTGAGAAGCCAAATATTAATTTCACCGTTGAGGGACCTGTTCTCCGGCCCTCTCGGGTTAGGAAATGGGAAGGATAAACTCAGCCCTTCCTAGGAAAGCCCGGGCTGGTCCTTCATGAAAGAACTGGTTAGGATCCCACTGAGGCTAAGAGAGAGCCTGGCTTTGCCTTCGGGCTTCTTTTCCTCTGTACGCTAGAAATAGATGGGGGATTTGCTCATAGTTTCCGAAAGGAAGCTGGGGGTGCAGGGGGAAGAGATTTTCCTTTTTACTTTAAGTGGGTGAAGGGTCACCTATCCAGTGGCTCTTGCCACGCTTCATCCATGTGCCTTTTGACTGGATCACGCAGACTTCCCCTTTTTATGCACTTCGCCGGAGTGAGCAGCAAAAGGCATTGTCGTGTGAGACTGGAGAAATAGAATTTTGAGAGCATTGCTATTTCAAGCCCCTTTAAGGATTTCACTGGCGTGAGGACCAAAATTGGTTCATGTCTTGAGTTTATAGACCTCTGGGCTTTATTTGAAGCAGAGAAAGGGGGGGGGTATTCTTAATTTATCTCTGAATAAAAGATCCACTTTGATATTTTCTATTTTAGTTCCCCCACAAATTCTAACTTCCTTCCTGATTCACTACCCTCCGACCCCCACAAGCCTAAAATGAACAGGAATGAAGTTGGTCACATTTACTAGGAGAGTGACAGGTTAAGACAGATTAATTTCTTAGTGATAAGGAGTATTCCAGTCAACTGCTTGCCTGAGAATTTTGCCCCTTCTTGGAACTTTCTATCAGTACTCCTGAATTAAAACCAAGCTTTCTACCCTGTTCTAGTCAGAATGGTGTGTTAGAGCTGAAGACTTGCAAAAATAAATCTGTATGGAGACAAAAAGAAAGAAAATGAAGTGCATGATTGGGCCTGCTCTATCCCTGTGATATATTCAATTTGGTTTTGCTTTTCTCTATGTATATACCTCCTCTGGCTTTCCTGTTTGAGAAAAGGGCTGCAGTTTTATTGAAATCACTGCCTCCAGGTTTGTCGGTGGTCTTCTATTTTCTCCCAGTGGCTTTTACATTCAATCTTAAGTGGTAGCCTAGCTTTCTTCACATCCCAGAATTCACTGTTATTCCATAGAAAATGTGCTTCCATTTCTCATTGGACGTTTTTTGTGTGAGAGAATACAATGAAACTGAAAAGTGTTGCTTAACAAAGGAGAGCAGCGTCCTGTCTCTCTACTTCGCATACTAACATGCCAAGGAGCCTGTGCTGCATACTTTTGAAGGGGTAAGTTGGTGGAGGGGAGAAGACAAGGAAGGCATTTCTTATAGCTTTAGAAGTAGTCAGGATATTTATATGTAAGTATGAGTCAAATATAGAGCAGCATGTAGTGAATGGGGGCATTTTCAGTGAAAACATTTCATTAGACTAGGGTTTTTTCAAATGTGTCCCCACTGCATTCATTGCAGCTAGCAATGTTAAGAAAAAAAAAAGTTGATGACAAAATGTCTGAGATTGTCCTTACTTGTGTTACAAATACCTGGGAATTTGGGGGGGGTATAGAAAGTGGATTTAATTTTCAACTTTACTCAAATATTACTTTATTCTACACTTCCTAGGTCAACATTTATGAGTTTTCAATATATCTCAAGTCCCAAAGCATTACATGACCAAATTAGTTTAGGAGACATTACATTAAACCGTAGTTTCTAGCTGTGCACACAATAAGAAAACACTAAGCATTCTACCAGGTTATCCACAATGAAAATTTGGTTGTTATTGTGACTTTGGGTCAGCTTCCAGAATTGTTCAGCTTCTGCAGAATGGGGCTATGAGGAAAATTCAGTCTCAGAGTTTGCAAGGAGGCGTTATACTTAGTGTGCTAAAATCATAAAGGTGTAAACATTCTATTTGGGCTCCAGGATGGCCACATTTCTGTCTGCCCACCAGACTCACAACTACCAGCCACTCCTCTCCCTAACACCTCTTCTAATACCTGCAGTATTTCTTCCAGGATCATATAGCACTAATCCCCTCAAATTTTCATTTTCTCCTATTTCTCTGGATTTTCCCCCTGCCTCTCCCTTGAGATTTTGAGACTGATTTATACTCTGCTACATCTACCCAAAAGATGCATGGCCTATTTCTTAGCAATAGATATATTATGTGGCTGTTTCAACAATTTAAAAACAGTACATAGGAAAAAGGCTTTTTGGAGCACTCCTCAAGCACTCCACTTTCCCCATTAACTTCATTTTTTCACGTTGTAGCACTTTCTGGAACCCTTTGGAGAAGGGGAGGGTCGAATTGTATGAGCCATTAGGCCATCATCCTAATGAACAATTTATAGTCTGAATCCCTGATGATGAGGGAAGTTGTTCTTGAAGAACTGTTCCCTCAATTAAGTCCCATAATGTAAAGGACAACTAATATGTAAAAGTATGGAAGTATTCATGGTAGGTTGATATTATTCATAACAGATGATTGGATTGAAGGCTTATTTATTATGCTCAGGGCCTTGGTCACTTCTCTTGTGTATCAAAAATAGTCTAATTCTAAATGAGGTAGTATGTTTCCTTTTGTTAAATTGAGATGCAGTTTGCTGAACTTAAAGAAACAAAACTGTTAAGGAGTATCACTTTCCTGTTAAGATGGGGATAGTATTAGTGTTACAGAAACAAGGACATTCTTTCTACTAATCCTCTGAGATCCTTTGTGATTTTCAAAGCTGCTTTCAGAAAATACCCTACTTTAGCAAGAAGGAGCCCAAGAACCAGAACTAATCTGCAGGTCTTGAGTCTTGATCATTCTCTTTCCTCAACACTCTTTTTTTTTTTTTTTTTTAGCTCCAGTAAGGAGAGAGACACTGAATGCTACAGATAGGATTCCTCTCTAATTCTGTGTTTATTTCAAAACATGAGGTATCAGATGTCTAACTGTGGAGTAGGGATGATATTACATCTATCTAGGCAGTTGCCTATGTAATATAATTTAGAGAACACTGGGTCAGTCTCCCCTCCCCTCCTTTTAACTTCCTTCTCTCAATCTGTCATAGTGCTTCTTTTCCATTATTGGAGATGTGTTACTTGGATTCAGGGATTAAAATCTTCAGGAATCCCTTGTTTATTAACTTGTAGTTGATGGTCCTGGGAAGGCTAATAGATGGTATATTGGCTATTCACATTTCATTGTGAATCAGTTTTGTTTTGTTTTTTTTTTAGCAGCTTTCCAAAGCTAAGTAAGCGCAGAGTAGGAAAAGAACACAGAGAGGTTATTATTTTTTTAACTTTTTTTCAATGAACAAAAACCTGTTTTATCACCTCCCCATTAAAACAAACAAACAAACAAAGCCCTTGTAACAGATATTCATAATCAAGCAAAATTAATTCCAGAGCAGGTACATTTTAATAGAGAGGAGAGATGAAGATGGAGCAGCCTGGATGGAGCAAAGGGTTTTGGGGAAGCAGCAGGAGGGCTTTGGTTTGGGCAGATGGGACAAAAAAAAGGGGGGGGGGGGAATGGCACCAAAGGATGAGGGAGAAGTTCTATAACTGAAGGATTAACATTTTCCCTACTTAATCATTTTTGCCTTGGTTAAAGTCTGTAAATGGCCATCATTTACCCAGGTGTGGTTTGTTTTTCTCCTTCAGGAAGGTGATATGTTTCCTACTGATGCTGGAATATTAGGTAACCTGTAGAGTATATCAATATCCATGTTAGAAGTGGAGTGTGTTTTTTACCATAACACAAGATACTTTCTTGATCTTTATTTTTGTGTGAGAACTGATTTTTCTGTACTCAAATTCAATTCTATTTTTATTCTAGTTAGTCTTGGACATAATTTTTTTTTTTGGCCCCAGAATGGAGTGTGTGGAAGTTTGGCTTCTGGCACGAAGTTGGGAAATTACAACACAATTGTTTTCAAAACCTTTCCTCCAGAGCAGGGATGCTGAAGGTTCACTGTACCCCCAGAAAGTACTTTTTGAAGGAGAGAAAAAGAAATACTCTAGTCTAGGGATTCTTTACCTTTTTTGTGTCATGGACTCCTTTGGCATTCTGATGAGACCATAGGAGATATACACCTCCAAATAATGTGTGTAAATGCATAAGAGAAAATGTGTAGGGTTACAAATGAAACTAAGTATATTGAAATACAGTTATCAACCCCTTTTTTAAAAGTTCAAGGACTTCTGATTAAGAACCCCTGCTCTAAAGGAGAGTAGCTGATAATCTTATTTCACAACTTTACTGTCCGTTAGATAATGTTAAGGCATGGGGAGGGGGAGAAGAGAACAGGTATAGTATTTTTTCCCTTAAACTTAATGTTATTTTAACATACATTGTTCAATGTGGGGGTAAAATAAATCATTCTGTGTAAATCCATAATGTCTCATTGTGTTTAGAAGAATTTTAGGACAATTTGTATCTGTTTCTTTATAAGAGTCTCTGTTTCTAATTGTGGGCCAACAATAATATGAACTGCTATTTTAGTATTAGTCTTGATGGTGGGTGGTTTTACTCCTGCTTACCCCACCCGAGGTTGAGAGCTACCAATTTAATTTAACCTCAACCATCCTGAGGCATTGCAATTTACCTTATAAAACCGTTCCTCGTAGGGTGTGCTACTTACAGATAAGTTGCTATGTCTGAACTTAATGATGTGTTAGATCTTTGGACGCTTTTAAAGCACTTTTCCCTAGAGTGTAATTATTTTCCTTTCTCCTAATAAGACCTATATGGCAACACATCGGTCCTGAAGGAAATTAGCAAAATTATTTGAAGGATTATCAGGAGACCAAAAATGTTACTTGAAGTCTACACAAGTACATAAGAGAACACTAAAAGAATTTTGCAGCTCTTCACTATGTAGTTCTTTAACAATTAATTTCCAAACAAAGTTCTAAATGCAGTTCAACCAATATTTGTTGACTGTCTGTGAAGTGGCTAGCATCTCAATCAGTCTAGGTTACAATCAAACTATGATCATTGTGTAGGTGAGCAATCTATGTAGAAATTCACTCTTGGGGGCAGCTAGGTGGCACAGTGGGTAGAACACTGGCCCTGGAGTCAGGACCACTGGGGTTCACATCCCGCCTCAGACACATAACACTCACTAGCTGTGTGACTCTGGGCAAGTCACTTAACCCCAACTGCCTCACCAAAAAAAAAAAAAAAAAAAAATCACTCCTGGAGGCCCTATTTTCATGCATCATTCTCAAGACCACATCTTACTTTATTCCAAAGTAGGTGTGTTTGTTTTCATCTGTGCATAAAAATAGGTTCGTTTGTTTGTTTTTAATAGCTTGAGATTCAAATGCTAGGTCTAACTTAGGACAGCCTAAACATGTCTGCTTAGTTTGACCTGGTACTGTCTGCCATGTGAGATAGTAAGCTCCTTCAGATTTCCTCTTTAGATTTAGGAATTCCCTTTAGATATGGAAGAATCTTGTTTATTTTTTCGAGAAAGCAGCCCTCCAAAGAGAAAAAAGGTCCTGTGCTGATTGTCTTAGGTCATCTTCTCAAATTGTCAACTAAACTTGTCCAAAAGAAAACTCAACTTTGTCATATTGGGATAAAAGAAAAGTAATGGGTACTCCTGGTGAAGTTTGGAGCCTACCTCACTTATTCACGTAGAGAGCAGGGAACAGTCTACCTACTTATGTTAGGCTTAAGCTAGCAAAGTATCATTTATTTACACCGCCCACTGTGGGAACTTGTTCTTTGTAACATACTATTGAGGAACAAGTTGGACAGCCCTGATAATCATATGGGTTTAGGGCTCTGGGACCTAAACAGTTAGTGTGCAGAAAACACCTGGGGATGTTTATATGGAAGGGTGTCTAACCTGAATACTCTGAGCAATGTAATAGAAACCATTCAAATGCATTATCTTCCTTTGTGTTTTAATGACCAGAAGAGTGCCCTATGTTTGCATTTGTATACGTTTGGAAAAACACATTATTGGTTGGGGGAGGTCTAGTTTTTTCTTTTAAATGAACCAAAGGAACAATTACCTAAACAATGGTTACAGATGTTTTGCTGTCAGTTTAGTATACATCTTTACTCTAACTTTTTTTTCCTCCAGCATTTATTGTATAAAATAGGTACATTTGTTTAGCTAATGTTTGCAAAGCACTTTACACATTATCTCAATTTGATACTAACAACAACCCTGTGAGAGAAGTGCTAGTAGTATTTTCCCCCTTTTACAGGTGAGGAAACTGAGGCTGAGAGAGGTCAAGGTTACTTACCAGTGTCAAACCACTAAGTAAGCATTTGAGGCAGGATTTAAACTCAGACCTTCCTGACTTCAAGTCCATTACCACCTAGTTGCCCCCCCTAAATTTCAATATTTTGGTTTTGTTAAGTGGGTATTTCTTATCACCACCACCTTATCTGCCACATACAAAGCAAGCCTACCTACTCTTCATCATTGCTTTCCTAACAGGATGTCTGTTTGTTTTTACCAGGTTCATGAACCATCGGGCCCCAGCCAACAGCCGCTATAAACCTACTTGCTATGAACATGCAGCTAACTGTTACACACATGCAGTGAGTATGCTGATCAACCAGCCTCTAAATTCTTCCCCAATGATCAGCAGAGGGGTTCTTAGTATTATCTGTAATACATAATCAGTGGAATTGGCAATCTGTTAGCCAAGGAAGACACTGGCAAAATAACAGCTTACTTACCCTACCAGGGTGTCTGTGTTGAGTCACCTTGGAAACTTCAGTCCTCTTTCGATTAAATGGACTGTATCCTGACCTTGCTCTCTCTGATGAGGTTTTTATGAAATGAATAATAGTGCATCCTAGTGATAAATAAAGAGAATTATTTTAAGAAGAATACCAACTCTAAGAGGAAATATTTCACCTTTTCCAAATGTGACTTAACTCTTTTTTTGGCCTAAAATGGCAAAAGCTGTTGATAAACTGTCTTTTCCCCAGGGATCCCTTAAAATTTAGTACCCACCTTCAGACTGCAGACTAATCCAAGCCTTTTAGGTTCAAGATAATTTAGTAAATAATTTATTTACTCTGCTGAGTTGGCATGGGGGTTTATAAAAATGTTTTTGGGTGAAAACAGCATAAGTGAAACAGCATAATCAAATACTAGGTACTTGAGAGGAGACAGTAGGGGCTAGTTTATGAAAGCAATAATGTATATTCTCTTAGAGGATAGAAAAAAGTATTAAATCATTTTAGTGAGTGTAGCAGCTATGACACTGCCATATCATTGAGCTGAGTGGATACCAAAATACTAGGATCTTTACACAGAATGGTTTCTACTTCATATGAGGAGCAATTGAAGGAACTAGGGAGTGTTTGACCTGGAGAAGAAAAGATTGAAAGGGAGTAGGGAGGAGCTGTCAAGTGAAGGGGGAATTAGACTTGTTCTGTTTGGCCAGAAAGGGCAGACCCCTGCTTTAGCCATGGGCTGAAGTTCCAAGAGAGATGTTTAAAGTTCGATGTTAGGAAAATCTCCTTTCACATCAGAGTTGTCCAAAAGTGGAACAGGCTACCTTGGGCAATAGTAGGTTCCTTCTCATGGAAGGTCTTTGAGCACAGGCTGGATGCTTACTTGTCCTGTGCGTTCTGGTTGGGATTCCTCTTTGGGTTTAGGTTGAGCTAGATGACTACTGAGCACCATTCCAACAACACATTCTTTGATTCTATGAAATTCACTTGAATGGTTGTATCTTCTCATTCCCTTAGCCCTCATTCCTTTCCCAGTATATAATCACCTGTCTTCCTCTCAGTAACAGTGAAGTTGAATAATCCCTGAGCAAACTAGCTGTTATGATTGGATTACTTGATCATCAAATATTCTTATTCACTAATGGTTTAGTTCAGTTTTGTTTTTTAAGTCATTTGTTCATTGCTTAGGATAAACCAAACTTCATAAAGCTCCTTTTCTATGTGTGTTAATACCAAGATTAAGGTATTGTTGTCTGAGCAGTCGAAAACAAGTTCTACTGGGGGTATACTTGAATGTCCTTTACAGTAGCTTATAAAATATAAATTAAATACATATGTTATTATTAGGAACTGGATTTTTAACACTGTGTATGATAGAATACGTAGCTCCGGGTAGATCTGTTTTCTCTCGTCAAGTAGATAAAATGCTGAAATTCCAAAAGACCCATTTACAAGATGATTCCTCCTTAAATTTTGTCACATAGTATGGATACCATGGATCTTGACACTACAGTTTTGGACTGTTTTGGACTGAGTCCCAGTTTCAAGACAGTGATGCATCTTCAGCAGTGGGAGAAGTACTGCCCTGCCTATGGTTTCAAACTTCCTTTCAAATGCCATATGGCTTAACTCTTGTACTAAGCACTGTACAATTTAGAGACAGAAAAGAGTTGAGAGACCATAGTCCAACCCCTCTGTTTTATAGAGGGGTTTTATAAATTGCTATTTTGTTGGGAGTGAGGAGGAGATGTCTGGACCCTGTATTCTATCCAGGTCAGGAGCCTCGAGGTGAGGAAGCTTCTCTACTCGTGTAGATCTAACAACTGCTCTTCAGTTTCTAGTTTTGGAAAGCTGCCTGAAGCACTGAGTGTTTAAGGGACTTGCCCAGGGACAGATAGCTAGTATGGGTCAAAAGCCAATAGGGACTCCTAGGCAGGCCCAGCCACTGTGCCCTTCTCCCCTCCCCCACAAATGTACAGTGAATTTAATCATTCTGCAAACATAATTGATTCCTAGGACAGCTATTTGCTGATAAATCACTAAGAAAGCCTAGTCTGGGGTATAATTGAGCCACGAAGAATAAAAATGAAAGCTTAGCTAATAACCTTGTTTAGATAGAGTGGTTTTGTTTTTGTTTTTGTTTTTATTTTTCAGAACTTATATATAGACAATAGCCTCTCCAGATAGAACATATTGATGAAAAATACACACATATAAACTTATTTAGCTTATTTATATAGTACCAACCAATGAAAATTTGATCCTTAGATACATTTGCATATTGAAATAAGCATGATTTTTAAAAGATGGCCTCAATGGTACCAGTAGAATTGCCTGTACTTTAATCTTAAACAAAAAACCAGTAGGTATATACAGATCATTAGATAATATGAATACTGTACAGGTTGTGTTTAAGATGAAACTGAAACAATTGTTAAAAGTTTGTTTTTCAGCTCTCCATTCCTTTGTGGCTTGTTGTCACTTCTGTGAGTTTCATAAGGGAAGTAACAGATTCATGCTATATAAATGGCAAATTCACTCCCACACTAAAAAGTTGAAGGGGAAGTTGTTCAATTAAGTGGGAAATCCTCTAGGACTCATAGGAAGGGTATGACCTCATGTTCTTTGAGGTACATGAAGTTTAGATGTTGCAGTAAGAAGAATTGTGTTAGAGAAGCAGTGGAAATCTTTATAATTTATATCCAGGATTAGGTTTTTCTAGTTCAGATATTAGGTTGCTTATTTCCTTTTGGGAGTGGGGAATAAAAGACCCTTATATTATAAATATTTTTTAAAAAATCTAGGTCAGAAAAAAAAAACTAAAAAAAAAAAAATCTAGGTCAGGCAGAGAGTATAGAAAATAAACCAGAAAGGAGAATTCCTTCTGCCTCTGAGATCCTGGTCTGTCTTACAGTGATATTGTATAAATGAGCTTTAGAGGAGAGTTTTTTCTTGTTAAGAGAAGGCCTTGTAAAAAGACTTACAATCTGCAGATGCCCAGAACTTGACAAAAAGCAGTACTACAAAAATCCCATTTGGGATATTTTAAGCAAGAATTTTAAGTTGAATCTAGCAAGTAGGATGAAGTCTGATCACAACATTTGATTTCATAAATTAGGGTAGGTGATATGATTACCATTGGTGTACACCAATGAACATTGGTGACGGTAGCCAGTCCAAGAATCTTCAACTCTATATAGTCTTTATTATGATTACCCAAAAGCAAGAGGTGTTTTATTTTGAAATCTTATTTTTCTGAGATGAATAAGAGCACATAGGTGATATAAAGGAATACAGTTCTTAATTCAATAAAATCTAAGTATTTATCTGTGCTGTTTCCACAGCTCCTCATTGTTCCTGCTATTGTGGGCAGTGCCCTCCTCCATCGACTATCAGATGACTGTTGGGAAAAGATCACAGCATGGATTTATGGAATGGGCCTATGTGCCCTCTTCATCGTTTCCACAGTGTTTCACATTGTTTCATGGAAAAAGAGTCACTTAAGGTATGGCAAACAGCCTGTTCTTTTAGTGGATGAACCCATTTGAACTGAAAATGTGTGCACATGTACACATACACACACACACACGTGTGTGTGTGTGTGTGTGGTGGCAAGGCAGATTATAATTTAGGTGAAAATGAAATAAGTTCCTGCTTTGCAGAGTCTTAGACCATTCCATTCTTCATTTTTTGATGTGATTTGTTTTGGTTTAGAGTTTTTCACACTAATCTAGCCACAACTCACCATTCCTGGGCTTGAAATATCTCATAAAATTCATAAACACTAGTTCTGAAGGCTAAAGGAATGTGATTAAAGGGAGAGGGGAAGAAGGTCAAATAAATTTTAGATACTGTCAAATAAAAAAAATTAGCACGAATATTTTTGACACATAATTTTATGTCTCATATCTGAGAACTAGTATGATGTCATGGATAAAGAGCTGGCCTCAAAGTCGGGTTTAAGTCCCGCTCTTGACCAATATTGGCTGAGTGACTCTTGGCAAGTCACTTAAACTCTCAATGCTCAGGGCCACTGGTGCTAAACTCAAATAGAAACAGATCCCTGCCAGCAATATATTAACACAGGAAACCACAAATTAACATTATCTATGCTGTATTGAATTTTTATTTTATTAAACATTTCCCAATTACACTTTAATCTCCTTTAGGCTGCCCTTTTGCAAGTGGGCCTCAAGTCTGATACCTACTCTAGGCCAGGACTTCTTAAACTTTTTCCACTTGTGATCCCTTTCAGCATTCTGGCAGTAGAGTTTGTTGGTGTTGAGTGGACTGGGGGCATGCACAGTGCAAAGTGCGCATGCTTTGTGTTCAGAACCAAGGCTGCAGTGATGATGCATTATGCAACATTGGCAAGCACTGCCAGAAACACCTCAGATTCATTAGGCATTTGGTTTTTGATTAATTTTTGGTCATTGCACTTTCAGAAACTTGTTACTGTTGCCAAATTTTTCATGACCCCCAGTTTAAGAAGTACTGCTCTAGGCAACTTTCTAAGAATAGAAGCTGTAGAGAAGGCATTGATCTGCATTGGTAGGGGGAGTTTCCTTACTAGGGAGTTGAATATAATCATAGGGTCAGTCCTTATTCAGATTTTACAACCAGTATTTTTGACCCACACCATTATTTTGACTTCCTTCTTGGTAGTTCTGATCTTTTAACTTCTCTGCTCAAAGCCTGTTGATATCTTCCTTTGCGCACCAAGTAAACTTCAGATTCTTTTGCTTGGCATTTAAGATCTCTCTGTACCTACTGTCATTATTCCTCTTTAGATTTATCGCACTCTCCTTGACATATGCTGGGCACCAGCCAAACTCTGTGGCTTTGCTCTTGTTGGTTCCTACATTCAAGAGCCATCACACCTGTTGACTCCTAAAACCCAGCTCCAATGTCACCTCCACCATGAAATTTTTCTTCCTTCATGCTTCCAGTAGTTAGAAATCATTCTCTTCCCAGATCTCAAAACAGCCCCTTGCTTGAAGTTTTCCATATTCATTTTGTACTCTGTAGTTATTTGTACATATCTCACATCCAACGCCTCAGCCATAGGCTATATAATGTCAGGGACAATGTCTTCTCTATCTCACCTAGCTCC